TAGTACACATTTTGCACACGAACATTATTATTCACACATTGCGTATAGCCTGTTATCTTCGTCTGATGTTTTTTACTGTTCCAATATTTTAATTGTATTTTGTTACGTATCTTACTCATACCTTGATACTGCTGGATCAATCTGATTATATAAAAAGTATTTTTTTAATAGTTTCGCTGCATCAAGTGCTTGTTTGATGCTTGGTGGAGGGACAGGATCGTCTTCTTCAACAACGTAAACAGCTGCAGTTCTTATCTATTTCGGCAACTTAGAAAGTACTGCTCAATGTTTTATAATGCCGCATTGTTGTCGTTAAATAGAGTGAGCGTGACGCTATATAGAGTGTAATATTGTATAGAAAACAATGTAANGCGGCGGAAAAGAAAAGGTTAGAAGCGTTCGAAATGTGGTGTTATAGGCGGATGATGAGGATATCGTGGGTAGAAAAGGTTAGAAATGAAGAGGTATTGGAAAGAATAGGAGAACAGAGGACTCTCTGGAAGTAAATAAAAAATGGGCGAGATAGGTTAGTAGGACACCTTCTCAGGCATGAAGGTCTGGTCAGAGACATATTAGAGGCAGAAACAGGAGTAAAGAGGGGTAGAGGTATACCTAGATTAGATTACTGTTCGCAAATAGTTAAGGATGTGGGCTGTTCTAGTTTTAGGGAAATGGGAAGTTTAGCTCAGGATAGGAAAGAGTGGAGGTACGTGTCCAACCAGTCTTAGGACTGACGACCTTATGATGATGATGATGATGTGACTTTAGGGTCAAAATCTAAATCAAGTTAATGGTCACCTTCCAGTGATCTTTTTCGAACCCAGCAACTTTAACCTGTAGATTGATGAGATTTTCAGCTACCTCTACATAGTTTAAAATAGGGCACCCTTTAACAATAAAACCGTTCCCATTCTAACACTTCTTAATTGTTTACTCATTAATAATTAATAAAAAACATTTTGCTTATCGAAGGAATACTACATTTTATGTTGACGGTAACGAAAAAGGAAAATTCTACCGCAGATCCCAAGGAAGACATGAACAAGATTTTCAAAGAGATGGTCGACGAAGAAGGAAACATTTTGATTCCTAATTTTGCCGACTTCGTTCAACAGATTACACCGGATGAAGAAAACATTTACGAACATATGCCGTTATAAAGAGTTTACACTGTAGTATTTGTTTAATAATTTCAAATACTCAAAAACGATATTCTCTGATATTGCTAAACAATTTAATGCTTCAATTTGTTGTGGAATACCACACTACCACCTCAGCCGAAAGAAATGTTTCGGGAAGCCGTTTAAATGATCTCAAGTGGAAGACCTTCGGTAAGTCCGTACATCACGAAAGCCGTGGGTTATTGCCATCATTCGATACGTTGGACACAAGTAACTGCATTGTAATTGCATACTTAATTACTCCGGTTACCGATTTTCGAGATACCTAATGATAGCTATCATAATATCCTTACGTCCTGTAGGATATCCAAACAAAAGGATTAAAAGTACAGACTGAAGCAAAAGAAAAGAATCTCCCAAATGCAAAAGATTAATAAGACGACTCTGATACTAGTTTCTTTTATCCTATTTACACACAAAACCCAAAAAAAGAAAACAAAAAATCGGCGAAAGACTGGTTGCACACGCACCTCCACTCTTTCCTATCCTGAGCTAAACTTCGCATTTCCGTAAAACTAGAACAGCCCACATCTTTAACTATTTGCGAACAGTAATCTAATCTAGGTCTACCTCTACCCCTCCTAACTCCTGTTTCTGCCTCTAATATGTCTCTGACTAGACCTTCATGCCTGAGAAGGTGTCCTACCAACCTATCTCGCCTATTTTTTATTGACTTCCATAGAGTCCTCTGTTCTCCTATTCTTTCCAATACCTCTTCATTTCTAACCTTTTCTACCCACGATATCCTCATCATCCGCCTATAACACCACATTTCGAACGCTTCTAACCTTTTCTTTTCCGCCGCTCCCACTGTCCATGTTTCGCACCCGTACAACGCCGTGCTCCAAACATACACCTTTAACAACCTTTTTCGAATTTCTAAATTAACCGTTCGCGAGCATAGAAGTGACTTCTTTTTATTAAAGGCGACACGACCCTGCGCTATCCTCTGCTTTATATCCCTACTACTCCTTCCATCCTCACTTATCTGACTTCCTAGGTATCTAAAATCAGCCACTTCTTCTAATTTCTCGTCTCCTATCTTTATATTCGCTCTTTCCCTACTTTTTCTTTCGTTGCTTACCAGTATTTTAGTTTTACTTTTATTTATTTTCATACAGTACTGATCTGTCAGTACCGCTTCCATTTTATTTAAAGCTATCTCTAGGTCCTCCTTGCTAGATGCTAATACTGCTATATCATATATATAGCCCATAATTGATGTAATTGTAATAAATTGTACCATTTTCTAGAGCAAATTTACCGCCATATCAACAAAAATGGGACAAAGTTCAAATGCTCATGCATTTTTGGCGACTGCCGTCGATTTTTCTTGACGAAATACTCGAATGCAACTGTGACAAGCAAGACTTTTCAACTATCAAAAGGCATTTTGTAATAAAAATCGTTCCCCGACAAGTCGATTACAAAACGGCGGAACTGGTTCAAAATTTCGTTAAAGATACAAGGAAAAAACTGAAGATCGAAAGCAAAATGGAATGTGAACTCATTTCTTCATCTAGGCCATGGGTAGAATCGGTTAGTTCGCCACAATACATCGCCGCCGCAAGGGCCACAATACAGGTCAGTATTTTACGCAGCGTGTAAGAATACGTTCAGTAATATTAATGAGAGATTATGCGTGAATCAATAAATTATAAAACAGTAAAAGGCACGCATTCTATCTTTCATACTATCTCATATTACAATGGGTAAATAGGTTAGAACGTATGTCATGTGACATATAAATCTAGCAATGGTCTACGTTCATATTTCTTGACTTTGCTTAAGACGATGTAGAGTCCGTTCACTTAGAGAAAGGTGCACGATGTCAGATCGATATGCCCGAACTGGCTTAATGGGCGTAAACGTTAGAAGTAATTTACGGCGCCAAAGGATTACGGTTGGGCTTTGGTCGGAAACATCTGACAGTAAATGACCGAGCATATTCTGGAGGCCCGCCTACGACCGATAGTCGTTTGTTCCCATCACTCACGTGGTACCTTTCTCTAAGTGAATGTACTATAACCTGCAATTCTTCATTACTTTTTGAATTGATTCGAACAAACCTAGAGATAAGACTAAAAACTACATAAGGAAGAAGTCAGTCGCAGTTGCCAATGAAACATCTGATAAGTCCGAATTTTAATTATATTACGAATGCCTCATCTCTCCTTTTTAATATTCTTTTTCTGTCACTAGATCTATAAAATGAAGCCCAGTCTGATCAGAGAAGACAGAAATATACCAATAGTAAGTATGCTGAGCAAGGTGATGGAGAAGCCAGTTATGCTTCTACCCTTGCCGTCAATGGGTGCGAATATCTCGGAACCAAACGAAAACATTAGCCTTAAAAATTACTACGAAGGAACGAAACTTCTAGCGGCTTATATATTGCAAATTGCTGAAATGAAGAACGTGAAGTAAACATTTATCGAACAAATAAAAATCTATTTTACACATATATAGCGTTGTTGACTTTATATGGCATAAAAGTTTATTTGTGAAATATATAAGCATATAGGGCAAATGTAAGTTATTGTTTATATAATTTTCAAAAAATAAAGTACTATTACCTAATAATGACTTTTGATTTTTCATTTTCCAAAAATAGTTGCACAAANTCATAAAATGCCCGCGCACTTCATAAAATATCCACACATGCATTCTATAGAATGTTCGGGCAATTTTTGAAAAATAAAAATAAAAATGATTTAAGCAGAAAACGTTATATGCCAAATTATACGTACTGTATGGAGTATTTAGAAGTGATTCCTAATTTTAACCCGTTTATTTTGGTTTGAAGTTTTTTTTACTAATATTCGAAAGACATCAGTTTATATTATTAATTTTTCTATTCATTTAGCTTCTTATTTACGCCTACTTGGACGTCAAGAATCCAGATATGGAAAAATGGGAGACAGACCCCTGGGATGCAGTTTTAAAAAACCAAAAACTGTACGGCAACGGGGTGGCAGGTGGCAAAGGTCCTTTAGTCTGTTGGTTTCACGTCATCAAAGCATTTCAAGACAAGGGCACGGAACTTCCGGTTAATATTCAATTCCTTGTCGAATCTATGCACTACAAAAATAGCCAAAACCTGGAAGACTTTATAACCAATAATAGACAAAGACTTTTTCCCGATATTAGCAGCACAATCGTGAATGATTGCGAATGGATGGGCGTAAAATATCCGTGTATTTTTTACGGATGTATAGGTATGGTCACTTATAACTATAAACACAGTGTCAAAATAACAACTATATTTTGTTGTAAAATTAAACATTAAAGATGTAGATACGTCTTGAAAACTATTTCTTTCAAAATAATAATGAAGTTGAGAGTAAAATCATAGAAGGCATGGAAAGGGGACAATGGTAGGTGACCATCAATGTTACCTTGCCTGTATAAAGAGCAACAGGCAGTTATAGAGATGGGGCTGTAACGTAGAGAAGTAAATATTAGGAAGAGAGTCAGACGGGGATGCACACTGTCACCACTATTTTTTAATCTATATATCGAAGACGCGATCAACATCATTAAAGACGGTACAACTGTAGGGATAGATATACAAGGGCAAAAGATTAGTATGCTTAGATTTGTAGATGATATAGCGGTATTAGCATCTAGCAAGGAGGAGTTTTAAATAAAGTGGAAGCGGTATTGACAAACAGTACTGTATGAAAATAAATAAAAGTAAAACAAAAATACTGGTATGCAAGGGAAGAAAAAGTGGGGAAAGAGCGAATATAAAGGTAGGAGATGAAAAATTAGAAGAAGTAGCCGATTTCAGGTATCTAGGAAGTCAGATAAGTCAGGACGAAAGGAGTAGTAGGGATATAAAGCAGAGGATAGCGCAGGGTCTTCAATAAAAAGAACTCGCAAACAGTTAATTTAGAAATTCGAAAAAGGTTATTAAAGGTGTATGTTTAAAGCACGGCGCTACACGACAAAACAGGGACAGTGGGCGTGGCGGAAAAGAAAAGGTTAGTACCGTTCGAGATGTGGTGTTCAGGCGAATGATGAGGATACCGTGGATAAAGAAGGTTAGAAATGAAGAGGTATTAGAAAATATAGGAGAAGAGAAGACTCTATGGAAGTCAATAAGAAATAGGCGAGTTAGGTTAGTAGAACACCTTCTCAGGCACGAAGGTCTAGTCAGAGACATATTAGAGGCAGAAGCGAAAGTTAGGAGGGGTAGAGGTAGACCTAGATTAGATTACTGTTGGCAGATAGTTAAGGATATAGGATAGTTGTTCTAGTTTTAGGGAAATGGGAAGTTTAGCTCAGGATAGGAAAGAGTGGAGGTACGTGTCCAACCAGTCTTAGGACTGACGACCTTATGATGATGATGATGAAGTGACTTTAGGGTCAAAATCTAAATCAAGTTAATGGTCACCTTCCAGTGATCTTTTTCGAACCCAGCAACTTTAACCTGTAGATTGATGAGATTTTCAGCTACCTCTACATAGTTTAAAATAGGGCACCCTTTAACAATAAAACCGTTCCCATTCTAACACTTCTTAATTGTTTACTCATTAATAATTAATAAAAAACATTTTGCTTATCGAAGGAATACTACATTTTATGTTGACGGTAACGAAAAAGGAAAATTCTACCGCAGATC